AAATTACTAAAACAATTAACTCATATAAAAAACACATAAGCGAGAAAAAAAGGTACATGTTAAAAAGTAAATATGGATTTGAATATTTTAATTTTTTATATTGGTTGCTTTGTTAATTTTTTTATAAGCAATTATAGTGTTGAAAGAGTGTTTGTTGTCTTTGTAATCTATGCTAATATAAAAAATCCAGTACACAGGACAAACTATCAAGTTTTCATGTTATTTTTTTTAGCCGCCTGCCTTGTGTCCTTTTTTTAAAAAATTTGTTGTTATATTAAAAATGGATTGTTGTGGGTATTTAATTTATTCCCTGCTTAATTTCCATGCCAAGTACATGTTGGTCTAGTTTATTAAAAATATGCATTCAAGACAATAAAAAATATTTCATTTAATTAAAATTTGAGTAATTGGTGTGATATATAAATATATAAATAATTGTAGGATAAACAGTAAAAATTATTACTTGCCGGAGTATAAATTTGAAGATTTTTTTTTAACATGCATAAGATATATTCCTCAACTCTTACCTATTATATTTCAACCTTTGCTCGATAAGATAATCATAACTCTACTAGAATATACCAAAATATCTGTACATGCATTTCTTTTTCTCTTTAATTTTTTTCCTCTTTCGTTGCATTAGAAAGCAAATATAGGAAATATTTACGATGTCTAATAGAAAGTGAAATTTATCGTTCAGGGGTAATAGAAGTATGTTTATTTTACTAACAAAGTTTGAAATATTTGACTAATAATTAGAGCATTTAAGTATATTAATTAGAGTTTAACTTTTTGGATATTTGCGCAAGGAAGATTTTGAGTAAAGAAAAAAATTTATTTATTTTAATGATATCTATACTTTAAAAAAAATAATTTTCAATTATCGATTAAAGGATACTTTTAATAAAAAAAAAATTAAGCGTAACTGAAATATTTTTATTAAAAATTGTGTTTGATTGAGTCACAAAAGGAGAAGATGCATTTATAAAAAAAATTAAATACATTTTTAATCCTTCAAAATATATATTTTGAGTTTATATTAAAAAAATGCATTAAAGAGAAAAGAAATTTGTTTTGTTAGATCTTACGCTTGTAGGTTTCACACCCCTCACTATCTAAGGATTTTGCTCTATAGATGCAGTAGATAGTCCTAAACACAATGAATGCCACAAAGGTTCCAAATGTCAACACTAAACATAATCATCTAAATTACCTAATTACTACTAACAAGTTGGCTCATTTGGTATAAAGTAAGTGTTGCGCTAATGCCCAAATGGACATTTTAACCGTTTATATGATAGACAACGACCCTTATGATGTTTCAGATACCATGATTAGCACAAGGCATTAGATTTAGAGCGTACCTGAAATTATGATGACAACAGTGCATTGCCAATGCATTAATCATTAAAAACAATAAATGCTGCAACTATCGTGGGTCGCCTTCGTGTGGTAGTCTTTTATTTCTTCAATCTTACTCTCATCATTGGTTTACTCATTCATAGGTCAAGCAGCAATACAGCATGCAATTAAACCAATAAAAAAATTGCCGATGATGTCTTTCTTTTGGAGAAAACGTGTGTTTGTTTTTCGCATGAAATGTAGGGTTTTAAAAAAATATTTTCAAATAAAGAAATAAAAACAAGTATGAAAAATGGTTGGGTGTATTATTTTGATCACGTTGTGACCCATTGGCGCAATCATTTTTCTTTTCTAAAAAAAGAGAGAAAATCCTTTGCAAATTATGCCTAACATGTCATACCTTGGGGTTCACTTCTTTTTTATCACAAGTCTTTGCTTTGGCTTGAAGCATGAAACGTTAGAGATCGAACAATTAATTAGGAACGTTAATTTGAACCAAACACCTTAATCATTTATTAATTGTTTTTTTATTTTAATCCATCGAAGTAGCTCTACCATCCTTTCTAAACATACGTCCAACATTGCATTTTCAGCAACCGAAGTTGATAACATGGCTCTTGTAGTTGTAGACCCTCTCTTACGTCTTTCCGATTCACGTGACTTTCTCTATAACCTCGTCTTATTATAACATTAATGAATCAACCAGATGCTACTCTGTTCATCAATGATTTGAAAAGGAACATAACATTTAGAATATTTCTTCCTCCATTCTCTATCTACGTAAAAAATTTTTGGTATATTTGTACGCCAAGAAATATACCTAAATAAAATGATACTTTGGTTACAGGTACAATACTCTGGTGTTTTTCACTCAATAACATTAATATTTTAAGGATGTTTATTTTTTAGCACCAGTTTTGTTTGTATAATGATTTAGACAACCCAGATGAAATGGCTATTTCACATTAACGTAAACTCAAATCCACTTTACAAAGTCAAATATTTTTTATGGGATTTAATTGTCAGTCATTTTATATAGCTTATCAAATTTATGAAAAATGACAATTACTTAATTATCAAATAAGTTGGGCTCTCAATTATCAAATTAATTATGAATCACGATTAATGTTAGAAATCATTGTTATTCATTGGTAATTTTATATATATATATATATTGATGGCCTATTTGAATATAATATTATTTCTAAACTTTAAAATATGTTTGTCATTGCTATAGGATATTTTATTAATCAAAATATGCCTGAAGATATCATTGTTTATATCCTAGTTGCAGGTTTCACTGGTCAACTAAAAGGATAGTGGGATAATTATCTCACTGAAACTGATATAGAAAATATTCTCTCTGCAGTAAAAATTGATGACAAAGGTAAAGACATAGTCAGTGATAATGAACAGCTCTATGATGTAGTGTATACTTTATTATACACTATATCTCAACATTTTACACTGGTGTAAGTTATCATATACTGGTGTAAGTTTAAAATTTTACACTCAATTTCAGTTTTTCATTTAACTTAAATCTAACGGCCAATGAAATAATAAATTATAACTCGTTAAAAATAATAAATTATATATACACATCAATTATTTAAAATTATTATGAGATAAGCATTTCATAACAAACCAAAATGTTTTAAGCTATCAACGACTATTCAAATTTCTGCCCAACAAAAATACAAATTAATATAAAATTTCATGCACGAGGCACATTTTAGTATTAATTCAATAATAAATATACAGTATTTATAAAAATAAAAACATATAACTTAATATGTGTTTAAATTAACTTATTATATGATTCAAATAGTACACCATTGAAATTTTGATGAGAAAATTTTTAAAAATAGCTACCAACAGTATATACTTACGAACTATTCTTTCAACCATTTTTATTCATCCAAAATCGTATCATTTCCTGTCTTAGATTTAGAGGTGATAAAGTGGATAAAATTTGAGAAGTCAACCCATTTATCTCATCATCAATTTTTAGTCAAGTTACCTATAAATTCACTATGTCTTAACTGCCTACATATACATAACTCATGGATTGAGGCGTGACAAGTAAATCCGTTGTTATTATTATTATTAATTATATTTTTTACTTCCACTTGCTCTCATATCATATTTCACTTTTTTTTTTTGTGTATATATATATATACACACACACAAGTCAATCCACCTAGTCGTTTCAAAACGGAGTGAATTGACATTCTCAACTTCTTATTTTAAAAGGAAACAACCCACCTCACCCATTTATGAGGAGTTGATGAGAGGGTAGGGCAAGTCTCACATTGTCACATCTCCTTAGGTAGTTGACCTTGTATATACCCCTTTCTTGAATAATTGTGGATCCTCTAAAGTTAAAATGTGTGTGATTTGGATATGATGATTTTCACTAATTGACAAATAAATTCTTTATATAATCTTTTAAGGGCTGGGATTCACAAAATATGTAAAACAACCGTAAAAGATCTGAATCCTTCTTGAATCTTCTTTAGAAGACTCTACCGTCCAATATTAGAGAAAAACGCATTAAATAAGTGGTGGTTATATGGTTTCAAGTTTAAAAGAATAGAAATATTGAACTAACTTGAAACTAGTCGAAATAAAAAATTAACCTGGAGCAGGTTCAAGTTTGTGAGACGGAGCGGGTCATAAACACACCCAGTTTTCATAAATGGGGCAAGATTTTTACAAAGGAGACTTCTTTTGCTAAAATTAATTTCTTTATTGCACGCAGAAAGATAGCAAACTGTGATTGGCTAGCAAAAGGTTGGGGTTAAGTTTGACGTAAGATGATGATGATGACAATTATAAAGCCAATGCGTCAACTTTCATTGTATTGATGCATTGCATTGTCAAAGAACTACTAACGAGCCTTCTTCGATAAGTGAGTGATTGCAAAAGTAGTAGTGCTGATGGCATATTTCTTTCAATAACAGAAACTTGAAAAAACAGAGAGCGCAACTAAGCTGAGCGTCCCTGCATCCCAATAATTCTTTACCAACCTCAAGACCGTATAAATACAAAAGAAACTCTTCTGCTGTGGTCCCCAAAAAGGAGTGAGAACCGAGAAGCGTACAGAGGATACTTTATTCGTCACACTTACTGACCCTACCTCAGAAGCACCAAGTGGATCAAACCCAAATAACTAAGTACTTATTTTTCCATTATTGTTTGTTCATTCACTCCATTAGACAGGAAGCAAGATGATTAATAGAGCATTTCCAATACAATTAGAAGGATATCTCCAAATGCAGATACTTAATTTGGCTAGAGAAAATATTTTGAGAAAAATCTCCCAACGGTGCCGTATCGAAAATTTAGAGCATCTACGATCAAACTACATGCCAGTTTGGACAAGGCAATTGTTATCGCTGGGTATCAAAATCCCCATTCCAGAATGGGGGAAACTTGAAAAGGCAGGACAATTTTCGCTAAACTCAAAGGAGTTAGAAACAATTTCAAGTTCAGTGATGTAAAACATGATTTTGAAAAAAAAAGTAGTTATTTCTCCAAAACTCAGATCAAAATAGGCTCGAATCCATATTTCAAGAGCGAAATACCAAAAAGCCATAAAATATAACGATCTTCCAGCAAATGAAAAACTTTAATAAACAAAATATGACGTGATTGACGTCTACTCAATTGATAAAGAAAATTTGATGGGAATTAAGCACAGGAGCCTCCCACTTAACAACTGTCAGTTTGTCTAATCATAACAATAAATAATACCATAAAACCAAAATACCAAGGGAATTTCCCAGGTAAAATGTAAAAGAAAAGTATATGAGACGATGTTAGACTACAGAGTGCAAAAACATCAAACTCCCCAACCAGGTATACGTCGCCTAGCACTTCACCTCCTTCAAACCATATGCAAAGTACAGAAATGTGGGATCAGTAGCGCCATCTTTGTAGTAGGCAAACACCAAGACACCATCATCGTGCATGCTCTCCCCAACAAAGCTGCAAATAAAAACTTCTTTAACAATTACTACAAACTAAAGATAAAAAAGATAAATGAATTATGTAAACATGCTAAGCCGGATGAACCAATCAATCATATATACATGTAACATATCTTATAATACAAAGGCAGCACTTACAATTGAAGATCACTGATCTTGGAGAGCAGGAATTTAGTTGCTCCCTCAATGTGCTTTTTAAAAAGCCTTTGTTTCTCTTCATCAAGTTTGGGTGTCAACAACTTGATATACCTCTTAATGAAGGCCACAAACTGCTTCTTGTCAAAAGCAGGTTGCTCCTGCAAGAATCATATGACAAGACACTTGTACTATGAAATTAATCCAAGAGAATAATAGTTCAACAGTAAGTAGAGGAGTATCATTGTCCAAACCTGAAGTCTGAATGTGTCAACAATGTCAACAACCTTAACAGCTTGATCATCAACACCCTCATCTTCTCCACCCTCGGCAGAAGGGTTTGCACCAATGTCTACATCAACTGCTCCTTTAACAACCCACTACAAACCAAAAAAAGTCTTTACCTTTTCATCACATTCAAAACATGAGCAACCAAACTACTTCAAAAAATGTGAAAAAATTATATAGAAAAAGAAAAAGAAAACATAAAAAATATAAACAAGAATCCCAGATATATGCACAAGAATAAGATTTAACCGACCTTTCCATCAACTTCCCATAACAATCCATTCTCAATTTCCTTGTAAGGGAAGGAGTCCGAGAGAAGCTCATCACCTACACCAGGTAATGATAATATGACAAAGGTTACTCCGCACATTCAACCATTGCATGACAATAGCAACGTATAAAAAAAATATAAAGAGTAAATTAAAATCAGATGCCAACGCAAAACAAACACATTCTACTTCATAACAAAAAACATTACAATTAAAAACATCTTTCAAATAAATAACCTAACAGAACTAAGACAACTATACCCGTACTAAATTAAATTAAATATGTTAAACATTTAAAAAACAAAATTTAAAAACAGCTCTTATCTTAACACAGGCTGTAAATTGCAGATCGTTTAGGTCGACCCACACCAAACAAAGCCCAAAAAATGGCGATTCGTTCTCACCGACTAGCACACTTTCCCAGTATTATAGAAAGGTGCCCCCAATCTCTTCCAAATTCCAAGTCCACGACTTTTAACATGAACTCAGGAGAATCAAATAACGGTACCATACTATGAAAACAATATTAGACATGATATATAGTATCCAGAGCAACAACGAACAAGTTGTTGTCATAGATGCCACGTAGGAGCAAATTCATGCATAGAAAAAATTGAACTTCACAATTTGTGCTAAACAACTAATTAAACAACAACATTAAGCCTATTAATCTGACTCTTAGTGAATTAGATTTCATTCAACATAAAAAAATAAAAATCCAAACGGGAATAGCATTGCATACAACATGTTAAAAATATATGAACATGGACAAAAACGTGAAACCCCAACAGATTAAAAAATAATAAAGAGCGATGGAATGTGAGAAGAGAAAGAGAAATAATAAAAGTTAGAAATTGGAGATGGACCTGTGAGGAGGTCCTGGTAAACCAACATGTTTGCACAGATTCTCTCGGCTCGCGTGGAAAGAGTTTTCGGCTTTGAAAGAGGGTGCGAGTGACGAGAGAGGTTATAATACACACAAACTTATTTATAGGGAAGGGTTTGAAGGAGATGCTGACGCACAACACAGTTCTTGATTTCCAATATCCCCAATCAGTCCTTTCTGTTTCAAATTAATTAGGGAATCATCGGATACTCCGATATTTTCAGTTTATAAATTAAATTGATTTTGTTTATTTATGATGTGATCCGATCTAGTCTGAAAAGTTGTTTGAATTAGATTGCCCTTTTGGATTTAACTTAATCTTTATTTTGTAAGAAATACTTAATAAATATGAAATTTAATATGATAGGAATTAATTAAAATATTAAATATATCATCTCATAAATTAAATATTAAAAATATAAAATTAATACATCTTATTGTACATTGAAATTATTTAAAAAATTATATAATAGCACAATCATTATATATACAAACTTGTTTAAATTTATTGTAATTTACTTTGTGAATTTATTAAAATATATCGCCCAAAATTTTTTATTTATTAAACCTAATTATTTTAATGCAAATAATATGGAAATATATTTCTTCTACCCATTGTAAGCACTTTTTATAGGCGTTTTTTTTAATTTACTTATCATGCCGACTAAAAAATATAAATTTATACTTAAAAAATATAAAATGTTTATATAAAATAAATTTATTTATCATGTTATATAAATAAATTTAAAAATAAAATAAAATATTATTATATTTTATTATCATGTCAATGAAATATTTTTTAATATTGTATTTAGAGTCATTTTTATTTAATCTTGACAAAAACAGTCTATTTTAATTTGATATAAATTTAAATTTAGATATTTATAGGTGATTTGCAAAAATAAAAAAATATAAATTTTAAAATATAATTATTCAAATCTAATTTATTCTTAAAATGATAATATGACTTAAAATTTAATAAAAATTAAAACAAATTCTTATAATAGATTAAAAAAATAATTGCTAAATAGGTATAAATTTGAATATGGATAAATTACTCAAAAATAATAATAAAAATAAGTGTAAAAGATACAAATTCTTTTTTAATTATGACAAAACGTTTAGTTTCATTTTTGTTTAATAAAAAGAATCTACTTAAAAATATATATAAAATAATAAAAATTATACAAAATTCATTTTAGTGAATTTTACATTTTTTTTTCTGATTTTTTGCTTTAAAAATTACTTCTCAACTTTTATATTCAACTCTTCTTCTCTCATATTTAACTTTTCTCTTTCTCACCCAATAAAACTCTCCTTTTTCTATTCTTATCTTATTCTTTCCATATTCAACTTTTGTATCCTTTTTTTCTCACCCATTCTCAACTTTCATTTTTCTTTTATTATTCACCTCCCATTTTTTTTCTTTATACTCAACTTCTTCTCACTCTTATATCACTCACTCTCTCCCTCTCACTCTTATATCACACGCTTTCTCCATCTCAGTTTCTTCTTTCCTTTAATGCAACTCCCTCCCTTTCTTTTCACAAGAAACACGTAAAATTTATTTAAATAAACAAAATTTTATTTAAGCAAATTTTGTATAAATTTTATCATTTTATGTATGTTTACTTAAAAAAATACAATATAACATCTAATTTTTATAACAACGAAAAAGACATGGATTAAAATGTAAATATAAATACTTTAGTTTTAACCCATTAGTACCCACATATTTTTAAATATATTAAATTAAAATTAAACTTAATAAAAATAAAATTACACATAACATTACATATTTTTATTGTTTTAATTATACAAATCATTATATACAATTAATTAATATTATTACATGACTTTTTACAAGTTTTAAAAAGTGCAAGCATTGAAATACAAGTTCATGAAATAATTATTCCTCAATTTTGCTATGTTAAACTTACTTAAACTATTTTAGTTGTTTCAATCTTCAAACAACTGTGTACATTATTTTAGGTAACTAATTACTTTGTTGTGTTCAAAGTTCAATTCATTACTTTATTTAATATATTTTATAAGAATATGTAGTCTTTTCATTTGTTTTGAGTCATAATAATGGATTCGAATATGATTATTTAAATACTCGTAAAGAACAGGAATGAGGACTAAAGTTCCTACTTCCTACCCACACAAGTATGATTCAGATATTGAATTTTTTTTTTTAAATGCAACCATAAAGATCAATATTATAATACTCTACCAAAAATTGTGAAGATATCATCCTTACTCATTCCATAGTCATAAAATTACACACATTATTTATAAATCAAATCCAATTCCTACAATCAGTTATCCTAAACATACTCTAAAATGCTGCACAACATTGCTTCATATAAAATCACAGCATGTCATAATCAACAGCATAGTAATTCCCCGTTTTCTTCATCGCTCTTAAGTTGCTCAACATGAAGTGCTCTGCATCATCGTGCAAACAAGTTCAAAATTCAGTAGTGATTCACGTAACTAGTAAAACCAAACACCAAGAAATGGTGAGGAAGCATATTTATTATAAATAAAACCTCAACCGTTGATTCACCTTTGCGTGGCATATATAACCTACTGCATTCTACCGTGCCATCGTGCTGTACCAGGGGAAGGATATGCGTAATCCTTCCCAGTCCAGTCTAACAAATGCCAGAACTCTTGAATAACTATTGTCAAGATAGTGACAGAAGTGAAGGATCCTTCACCAAAAAGTTCCTTGCTGATTTGACATTAATGATTGTTTCAATTTCTCATGCCCAAAATCTTGTATGGACTAGGTATTGGAATGCTGATAAATGGTCATTATTTTGCTTAGTCAGCTTTCAATCTCAAGATTTCCTTAGCTGTTTTGAGCCGGAAGTAAGGCATGTGTTCCTAAAAATTGAATTGTGGAAAGAGAAATTCAATTCAGAAACCCTATGACGGATTAGTCAAAAAATGTGAGGCTTCCTACTTTTTCTTTCAAGAGAGGGAGAGAGAGATTTCAAGCACTTAATAAGATTTTGAAGTTGAAAAATTTATAACTAAAAATGCTTGGCAGCAACAGAATTGATATTGGCAGTAAGATAATGTTTCTTATCAAAGGCGGATGAATGGCTTTCAATAACGACTTCAGAAAAAGGAAAACAGCCCCACTTTTCAAATACTACATCTTACCTGGCTGAAACACAGCCCCACGTTTCTGCTATAGAAGTCAACGTATTTGATCATAAACACCCCACAATCATACCTGTTCAAATATAAGATTACATTTAGAAAATAATTCGCCCACAAACTGTTGCAAACACAGTTCAGAGTTACAAACGACGCTGAAAACGTGTGCAAGGTCAGAGGGATGATAAAAGAAATGAAAATTGAGATGGTATATGGAAAATACCGACATCTAAAAACATTTCTTATTTTCACTCCTACCAAGCTCATCACCCACCATTAAGGAAATTCTTCCCACAGTGAAAGTCAGATAAAAGAAGTTAATATCCCTGTTAAACTATTTAAATTCAGAAAGCCTATATCCAAAGCCAATCAAGTATAGGTTCCTAAAAACAATCAATAATTTCAATAACAAAATCTCCTGGGCAATTGACCAACCATCATGTCCGGGGGTAAAACCTATATGTTTTAGTAGTATTTAATGACCACCACAGGTCCACAACTACCTTCAATTCAAGGAACAGAAAAATTAAAATCCCCACGTAGTAAGCCCCTAAGACTAATTAGTCCAAACAAATCTCGATGATAAACAATCAAGATTATACAGAAAGTCAAATAGAACTTCATGTAAGTTAAAAAACGGTCAATGCATAAAAAAAATCTATTTATTGTGACAGTTTGCTTGTAACCTATCAAAGAGCAACTTTTCTCTCTTTCATTTATCTCTAGCAATCCCCTATTTTAATATTGATATCTATACAAAGATATTTCATTTTCAAATTTAAAATTGCAAGATTATATTAATTATATAAGGAAAGCCATCTGAGCCAATAAGATATAATCCATGTGCAGTGGAAATTTACCAGAGATTATATTTTATTGCAGAAGATTTTTCTTCATTTTAAATATCAGGAGAAAAACCACTAAACTAAATGATGATCCATTAAGTAAATTGCAGAAGACTAGAATACAAACCCATTCTGCTGCTCAGGAAGGTCTTCAACAAATTCTCTTTCCCAAGAGCTTACATCAAAATCTTCTCCAGTCTTGTCCTTTACTTCATCTACAAAATATCTAGCCTGGTAGACACCAATGATAAACATCATGTATAGCAGCGGCCAAATGTAAACATACGTATATGTATTTCCTGAGTTTCCATCTAATTAACTCCTACAGGAAATGGGAATGTGTTTCCTTAATGGAATAATGGCAACGACAAAAATATGCAATTTCAAAGCATGAAAATGCTTGTCTCCATACATAAAAACGTGACACAAGAAGCCACCTTCAGAGGCACACTTAGGCACCAAATGCTAGGCAAAGGCCAGCACCTAATTGAAGCAAATCACATTTATTTGGTTTATGAAAGATTTTAAAAAGCAAAAATTAACAAGATCTATTAACAACACTGATACATCAAAGTTTTTGACCAAATCTAGGCACCAAGTGTTAGGCTAAGCTTAACTCAACCTTAAAAGTTAGCTCATGAGGTGAAGATTGTTTAAACCTTTATAAACTCCACTTTGACTAAATCTAAACTCAATGTAGGATCTCAACATTATTCTTAGATGTACTAAAAGAAAACGCCATTAGATTTTCCAATGATTGAGAAAACTACAAGGTAGTGATCAAATCAAAGCAGGACTTTCAGTTTTCAAATAATTTAAATACATCAAAATCTTTGAGTGATTGAAAACATAACACTAGTCCCAACTACTCTACCTACAAATCATTTAATGAAAGATCAAGATTGAATAAACTGGGAGGGCGGGTGTCATGGAAAGTGTTAAAGATTGAAACCTTAAAAAAAAAGAGACTGTCACCACTTCCATTACCCTTTTACAGCAAGGTGCAGCTACAGAAATAAAATTTACAGTTCAACTAAATAGATAAAAAACATTACCAGCATTTTCAGCACTTGGATATCCATTCCTCTCAGCGAGTCCAGATACTGAAATTTCCTATCTTTCTTATTGATAACAGCCAAGCACCAATGGATCTCTTTATGGATAGGTACAAATATCTGGGAACAACAACAGATAAGGTAAAAAAATCAGCACAAAAACCAATTTTCTTGGTTGTGTAAAAAACAAAAATTGAAAAATTGTACAATATAATTACTTTATCACATTCATGTAAGCCATATCCCAATTTCCTTTGGCTGGTCCATCTCCTCACAGATTGGAAATCATAACCATTCTTGCCACTTGTTAACTGCAAATTAGAATAAAAATAAAAAGCAAAAAGCATAAAGGACAGACCAATATGACTAAATTACAGAGCAAATGTAGGTAAAATACATTCACGTATCATGTTTCTATTTATCCTATTCATGGCCCAGATGGGATTGTCTTGTTCATAATACTAATATTGATTTGTACCCATGGTTGTTAAACTCTTGTTTTCACTTGTAAACTCAAATGAGTTTACATAAGGAAATCGTGTCAAATCATATGTAAACTCATTTTTTTGTCAAACTCATGGGTTTACACCCAATTTTACAAGTTTAACAAAACAAGACAAAATTACATTTTCTTTTTTACCAAAATAACACCATTTGGAATGCGAGCATCATTTTTCTTCCCTCTCCACAAGTTGTGAAACATCACATTTATAATTATGACACCAAATCACATTATCATTATATGATTTGACTATTTAAGTATGATTTTCACTTTATTACATTATTATGGATTTTTAAATATTATTTTTATGAGGTAAACTCTTACTTTCCATGAAACCTAACAAAGATCTACATAATGTGCCCAGAAAGATTAAGAAAGTGCAGTGCACACATGCATGTGTGTGCCAGCACTATGCAGTTTAAATGGATAGTAAAAACATGTTACCCTCTTGTAGAAAAAGGTATTGAAAAAATGGCAGTTCAGAAACTTCTGCGGCTCCCTTCTCTCCCTCTCTTTCAGTAACTCAAGGTACAAATTAATCACCTGCAAAGGTAAGGTACAAGATCACTGAATTTCACACTGCAACAATTTCAAATCATGACACAATTAGATACCAAATTCTTTTCTTCCCTATCAATTTAACAAATAAACAACAAGCAAACAATATCACCTCATCATTTAACCATGCCCCAGGCCTAAGGCACTGAAACTTTTCACCTGAAATCGCAATGTTAGACTTCTCATGGGAAACCAAGACCTTCTTCCTGTAGAAGCAAGCCCACAGTGAGATAAAGTGCAGCTTAAACATTTCTCAATAGCATATGGCCAAATTTTCAGAGCATACCTGTTGGCAGCAAAGGCACGTGCAACCTCAGCTTCTTCCTCCTTAGTAAGAAGAATAAAAGGTTCCAATGGTTCTTCCTGAAAGCACAGCCATAGTTAGACATTATCAATTACACTAACATTTAGGCTGCTTCTTATGCCTTAACAATACATTGGTGTATTGCTACGCATTAATCATAAAAAGTGAATATGACGACAAAAATAACAACACAAGGCTCAGCAATAATTATGGTCTAAACAAACAAATATAGAAAGATGGGCCAGTAAACTGGTCTTCACCTTTACATGCTCCTTCTTTGGGCGCAACAGATCAAACGTTGACCTACGCTTCTCGTTAAGTTGAATTTCAACCTTCAGCCTGTTAATTGTATCCGTTCGCTTACCAACAGCCTCAAGCAATTTCTTGTAGGCATGAACACTTGAAAGATCACGCTCGGGACTTAGAGACAAAGTGTCCAACATCTTCGCAGCATTAACCGCATTCAAATTACCGTTAGTCAACTCAGAAACCACGGACGAAGTTGATTGCTGCTGAGGACCACCATTAACAACCTTAACATCCAAATCCTTTATCTCAGTCACAACCAAATCACTCTCTTGCCACTTGTGATCTGTCATCGGAGAGCGCACTTCTCGACCATCTTCTACAAAACGAACCTCTTCCACACTCGAATCTTCCGAAACCGTTCGCCTGTGACTATCAGTATCCATTTCTACCACCTCCTTGCCCTTTTCCCAAAACCTAATGGAAGCTAATGCAGAATTTTTTGCCCGTTGGTAATTTTTACACAACATATTTCCCATATCGTTACAGTTCTCCTCTTTCTGAGAATAACCACTAGCCATCAAGCTTGATTCTATTCTAGAACTGGTCGACAATTCAAACTTATGCGGTCTACACGGCGCGTGAACCTCCCTGTGCAATGGTGGCTTGGCTTCGGGATACCTGGAAATTCTAGAAACCATGCTACTCGAAGATATCACCGGTTGAGTGTGACTGTGGGACATGGTTGAGACTCTGAGTCTTTTCGATCTACAAGAATTGGGCGACGGAAAGTTGTGATTCGCGGTCAGCCACTGCTGGCGGCGCTTACCGTTGCTAGTTACGACAGCCATTGATGGATGCAGAGATCTATAAAACTACAATCCATTTAAGAAGAAGCATGTCGGGTCAGGGTTGGAAATTTTGAGAATTTAGCGAAACCCTAACACGGAAGGGAAAGTGAAGAAGAAAACAAACGTTAGGGTTTTAAAGAAGGGCGCTGTGAAAAGGGGTGGGGGTGGGGGTGGGGGAGGGGGAGTATTATCAGAGAAAATGAGAAGCTATAAGGATAGTTGCATGAAAGAAGAAGAAAAGAAGGTGCAGTTAAGAAGAGAGAGAAACGGAATTGAGCGGAAGAGGATGAGAGAGAGAGAGAGAGGAGTTGGCGCCTTGAAATTCAAAGAGGAGAGGAATTGGAGTGAAATGGGATCTGTAGATTAATCTCCGCTCCGCGCCTCTTCCCCTGATGAAGAGTTTTTGCCTTCTGCTTTCGGGGCACCAAAACAAACGCCCCCTTTTCTTCCATTTTTTTTTGCCCTTTTTCTACCTTACGTTAACAAGTTTCTTTTTAAATGTATGTCCTCCTATTTTATTGTTATATTATAATTTCAATTCTTTATATTCAGAGGCAGAACAATTTTATGTCTTGTATTATCAGTTTCTTGCCTTCCTTGTTTTGTATTATCAATTTGCATGGAATTAATTCAAAAAGTTTATATATATACATACATTATTTATTAAATTTATTATTCTTTTATAAAATTTGTCTTGAAATAGGATCAATTTCACGTTAGAAATAATATTTTGAACAAATCAACCCCACATTTTTTTATTTTTACTTTTACTCGTATGTATAATATGACATTATTTTAACTAAATAAAATAATTATCTAAACTAATTATTCAAACTTTCTCTTTATTTTTCTAAAATAAAAGTGTATATCAAAGCCAATAAAATCAAACCAAGCTAATATTGGTTCGAGTTTGAAAACAAAATATAAACGAAGAGAAATCAAGTTAATTCATCGATCTTGATTGGCAAGACTTTTTTTTTAACCCTTTTGTTTGGACAAAGGAAGATAAAACGAGAGAAAGGAGAAAATTCTTAATTTTAAATAAAAAACGAAGAATGTTAAAAATATAATTTTTATTCATTTACAAAGCTATTTTTTCACTTTTTCCTTTTCATTTTTCATTTAGTTAAACAAATATTATTATTTACATTTATTTTTCATCTCATTTAAACCAACTATAAAAATATGCTGTTTGCAAAAGTTCTCATGCCAAAATAAATATAAAAAATAAATAAAATTTCTTCTAAATTAAAAATAACTTATTTCTTTAAATTGTAAAGAAGTTAAAAAGGGAGAAAACTAATCTTAGAAGCCAATATACAATCGTTATGGTTTATGGATTATTTTTATCTCATACATATATCGCCACCCAGGTCTTAGTCTAAAAATAAAAACATTAAAAAAAGGGACATCTAATGTCTGTACATCACGACGTGTTGCTCATATAATGACGGAGAAGGCAAAACAAAACGGTGTACAGTATACTGATCACATGCTATTCGTAAAATAAAATGCAGCTTCATAATTGTAAATTTTTATCATTTACAATGAGATTTTAATCATAGTCCATCTCCAATAAGATTGAACAAAAGAAAGAAAGTTTATCTTTCAGAAAAGAAAAAACTGACGAGTAATTTTCCTCTCACAAATCATTAGCATTTTCAGCCATGGTATTCAATAACTATATATTTGACATCTTTAATTCAAACAAGCTGCACTACAGCAATGACCCTTAGGGCGCCGTTTTGGAGAAGATCAGCAAGTTCATCAAATAGCAGAGCAGTTCGCCAGCCCCATCCCTTAGGAGCTTTAGGTAGAAGAGTGCCTGTTTGTTTAAAGCTTCCAAACACCATCAAATCCCTCTTGGATGGGACAGTCAACTAAATGTGAAAAAAAAGGGGGGCAAAACCAGAATTATTAACCAAAACGATAGAACATCATGAAAAAATGATTACTAAAGTGGTAATTCATTGCTTATATTACCTGGTAGCGTGCCGTCACCTTTTCACGAGAGTCAACATACATGTGTACCTAATAATACATTGCCATGAAGTCAGGTCTAACATCTAACAGAAAATTTAAAAATTAAGGTTATTGATAATCAGCTATCAAGCATAAATACCAATCCGTACAATCAATTGTTCATGAACACAAATAAAAAAGGTGTCTTGCAAACACTGAAGGCATTACTCTATATTAATATTTAATTAAATCAAGCTTTTCAAATTATCTTCAGGACCAACTCATTCAAATACAAACCTTTCTATGTATATCTGTTATCTCTGCCTTCCGACGGTGAAGAAACAACCCTGCATTAGCATTATAAATAAGCTCTCAGATAGATAGAAGATTTTCTCTAACATTAATTTACATTTCAATGGTGAGAAATTTTATGTATTAAAATGTTACCAAGGGTACGCCGTCCCTGTGGGTCCTCATCATTAAAAGCTTGTACACTGACCTGAAGATTCAAACGAATAAATTCTATTCTTATTATCACATAAAAAATCATTTTAAATGAATATAACGATTAATTCACGTCGTTGTACCTTCCACAAAGAACCAGCATAGAAAACTTCGGGAGAATGCTTGACCTGACCATCGCCGAGCCTATGCACATCCTCAAAACGCACACTGCAAAACCAGTAGAAATTTACAGGACATTTATATAAATCGATGACGCTTAGTACCCAAAAATTTCGGAAACTCAAAGATAAAGAAAGACAAAACAGAAGCAGCAGGAGCAAGACTTAATGTGTTATTTGATAAAATAACTGAAATCAGAAATACAAAAAATAACAACAGAAATTGTGGGAGATGCCATAAAATCCCACCCAGATTGCAGAACACCTTCCATGCATTCAGGAAGTAATATTGGTCATAAAATATGTGACAAATCAAATCCAATTTAAAAGAAACGTCTTTTTCTAAAAAAGTCAAGAACATCATCCAAGAGAGTATACATAACTTATTCGCATCAAAGCAGATAATCCAAGTTCAATAAGAGGAGAAAAAGTTAAACAGATAAAAAAGAAACACAATTAAAGGGGAACAAGGAGAAGGGAGAAGGGAGGAAAGTAGAGGAAGATGGTACACAAGCAACGTGAGGATATGAATATTTGATGAATATGAGGTTTAAGTCTTAGATTAGAAGTCTTGCTGAATACATCAACAGCCAGGTTCTGATAATGAAAAGTGTCGGAATAAAGCCATCCCAAGGAAAAATTTAAAAAAAAGAGATAGCAAAAAAGTGCTAACATTAAAGATGCTAATATTGTGAATAATAACTTGGGAGGATCTTGTTGACCACCACAAGCTTCTTGCATGGTGAATATGCAATCTGGGGAAGCCCATATTGTCAACTATCAATATATACCCTATTTACTTTAACAATTTTCAATAGTTGCAAAGAAGCTAACTTACCCAAAGCGAAAAGGGGGGAAATGACTTAAAGGTGTTTTCAAATCCAGTGATATAGAAGAATTGTTGACATTATCCCATTCTATACCAATGGTATGCTCTGGTGTCTCTAACATCTGCATGGGGATGCCACCAGTACTTGCACCTCCAGCAGTTGTTCCGGACATGCTGCTTTGCAAACCCATTTCATATCCCCTTTGGGTCAGCTCTGTTTGTACATTTGTTCCGTTACTCCCTCCCTGGCTTAGCCCAACCAAAGCTGTCAACCCATCTCCTGACAGGTCTCCATTGTGGTCAGCACGTGTCTCTGAGTCATCATTGGCTGCAGACTGAGGATAGTTTCTGTTGCCAACACCAAATGGTACACGAGAAAAGACAAAACGTGTAGGAGGTGAAGCAGATGCTGGAACAAATGTGGTTCCACGGCCAATACCTGCAAGCCCATCAATAGCACCCCTAACATGCACCCGTACAGGTCTAAAAAGGCCATTTCTTTCACCTGGAGAAGATTCAGCAACATATATATTGCCCAAATTCCCAGGCATATTGTTCTGATTATGTTCTTGCATATAAGAGCCATTGGTAGTAGGTCCATGTGTAAATGCAAATTGTTTCTGGCAAGTGCAAGCCATACTCATAAGGGAACAAACTTTGCATGTTTCAGCAGCAATTTCTTGTACCCTCTGACTAAGAAGCATCTAAAAAAGACAAAGTTTAAAACACCAAAACAAGAAATGTCAGCAACATTTCACAAGCAATAATTTCTGTACCAAGAATAGTAATTTCTAAACCAAGTTCAATATATATCGGATGAATGATCTGCAGAGATGGAGATTGTAACATACCCACAAATTATCAGGAATAGATGCTTTTTGAGAAGGATATTGGCAGTTTAGGAAAACTTTGTTTTGAGGATTAATGAAAATTGTAACTTCTTATACCAAACTTGGTTGCTTTAGAGGCATAATGAAAATTTAAACTTGAAATTATATCAACATTTTTTAAGATGTCAATAGCAATACTATATTTCAATAGACAAATTAATCTGAGTCCAACCTGCAGCCAAAGACCATCATTCACAGCTTTGCAAGGAAAACCCAACTCTTCAAGCTGCTTTCTGACATTTAGAAGTGCATCAAAAGACATATTGCAATATAAAAGGGAACCTCCTTCAAATATATTCAAGAACGCATCATATTCATCCCCATGACCTCTGTAGTTTCCTCTAGGGTGTGCTTTAAGCTGTCTTCTTCCAACGGCCTGGCCATTCCATGAAAACAAAGGTGTTCCATATCTTCCCCAATCACTGGAAGTGAGCTCATTACAGGAATTTGATGAAAAGCAATGTCTTGATTGATCCCTAACTAGCCAACTACCGTTATCCAAATGGTAGCAAGATCCTTCTTCAGATGGCCCTTCAATGCCCATTCCAGATGCTCCAGTGCCAAGAGGCATCTCAACATAACATGATGTTCTCGTCCCATCTGTATCAGACGATGAACTGCCCAATGAAGGCCCTTCCACATCACAAGGATATTTGGGATTTAGGTTTGGTGAACTGACGTATGAAGCTTGTTGAACCTGTTCATTGGAATCAGAAACTCCATTGTTGAAGTCTGCCACTGAGTCTGCAAGCTCAACTAGAATATTAGGGGTGCTAGTGTCCTTTAGATCACCTTTAAGACTCATTTTCCCCATGTCAGTTTCTAGCCTCTTATTAGTACAGCTATCAGTTACACCTTTTCCCTTAGTGCCACCAGAATCAGAATGAATACTGGTTGCAGACTCAGAACCAGTAATTCCTTGTGCAGGATGTTCAACCTTGCAATGAGCATTTTTTGCCACGAATGTGTGCAAAGCCAACTCAAACCTTTTTGTGAAGTAATAGAGAAGTGTTATGCAGTTTACAGAACATCATAAAACCCAAATAAAGACCTGGGAACCACTTACCGTTTCTCTTCATTGAGTATCCACAGATCATTAGAAGTCAGTAATGCATGTAATGTTTGAGATGAAAGTTTAGGAAGCACCTGCAACAAGCACATGCCGTTTAACCCAACTTAA